CCCCCTACACTCTCTGGACGTCCTAATACACTCAACTATTATCAGAAAAAAATCTTCTCCTTTTGAGAGCCCCCCAAGAGGTTCCGGCTGGAACCGAGCCTACTTTCCCCCTTCAGATGACTGAAATTTCTTCTGTGGGGGGGGGGGGGATTTTTTCTGGAATGACCCATTACATGTATTTGCCACCGAATACAAGGTCAATATATGTAGTAATACTTTAGTCACCTTGACAATTGTCATTTCTTAGTTCTCTTTTAAGGTTGAGTCCACCACGGCACAGAATAGAGACCACACAAACGTCCGACTCGGTATATGAGAACCGAAATACGCATATACAGCTATTTCAATTAAGGTTGTCCCCCGAGCAAAGCGGAAAAGTCGAATACGAGCGCGAAAGGCTGCTGGGAATCGCTAATAAATGAATGAATTTATTAGCGATTCCCAGCAGCCTTTCGCGCTCGTATTCGACTTTTCCGCTTTGCTCGGGGGACAACCTTAAAGCTACGTTTACACGCTGCGATTTGTCGGGCCGATTTTGGTAAATAATCGATGCCCCTTCTTCGACATTTAGCGATTTAAACGTTCAATTGAAGCTGTCCGCTCTCTCGTCTGTTCATATTATAGTTTTCTGCGTGCGAAAAGTTTTCAACAATTTTACAACGGAAGAAAAATCGTTGAATCGTGAGAAAAATCTGTGTTAGTGTTATTTGTATACTTTTGTATTACGTGCGTGAATTGGTAACTAAATTAGTTATCAATTTCCGCACGTAATAGAAATGTATACAAATTTGCCAACTTCGCAGGGCTATATTTTCCGTATTTTACAACATTTCGCAACCAAACTTTGCAGTTTTTCTAATTTTGATAACTTCTTTCAGAAAATATCCTTTGTTATTCCCAGATTAAAAATTTTTCTAAAGCGTAAGTCGTCCATTGATGTAGCTGTATACAATACTTTTACACATAGCACACCTTAATAATATACCTTAACCTACCTTAGAATTGCAATAATGGTTACGCCAAAATCACGCCAACAAGTGTGGTCTCTATTCTGTGGCCATCAGTTGCAAACTGATAGTTAATTTATAATAAATGATCAATATATTTTGCTTATACTACAAATGTTTCTCGTAGATTCAAAACTGGAAGGGCTCCTCTCACATGAGACTGAGGCGAAACTATATAATGAAAGACACGTCCGTTTCAGGATTTGACAGGTTTCAACGTGCTCAGTTACTGTATTGGTCGAATTCATTTTTGAGACGGATGACCTGTTTCAGGGAACTTGGGGAAAAAGGATCATTTGGGTCGTCTGATGTATATTACTGGATAATCGATTGAACATGATGAACTATTTGTATTTCAGAACCATCCTCAGAGGTATGAAAAACTAGTTTGAATTCATATTATTCTGTAAAAACTCCAATAATATGAAACTAGTTTTCGGATTTAATATGAAGAACCTGAAACTAAATGAAACTACATTCAGAGCGCTGCTAATCAGACGCACAACACGTATCAATCTAAATCAGCGTGCTATACATATATATTTTAAAATATATAAAGAAATTACATTTTTCTTTAATCAAAAGATTACAATTAAAACTGTATGGATGAACTTAAATTTCCGCCATTTTTGAGGTACTACCTCTCCCACGTTTGAGAGTCTCTGCACCACGAAATACAACTTTTTAGTATTATAGTTGTTTGTATAAAGAGGTAAATTTGTAAATTTACAGATACAACTTTTAAAAGTCGCTTTTCACGTTGTTTGAATTGTCTAGAATCTGTCACGAGGGCAGACAGTACCCCCAAAAATGGTGGATTTTGCTCTTCGTGAGAAAGGCTAATTAACCAGTCAGTGGTCTCGATCTATTATGTGTTGAAATATTTATGGTACAGCAACTAGGACTTTTCTATCGTTAGTATTCTTGAAAAGGTCGCATTAATTCATAGTTATTTTGCAACGATTTTTGACGCATTAATTTGGATAAATATTAAATCTGTAATTTTTCATTTTATTTTATGATGCTTTGTCATCACATTGCTGTATAATTGTTTTAATTTGAGCAACTTCACAAATCAGGAAGTCAATTTGCACCGCGGCAAAATTAGATTTGTGGACATCTTCGTTCACAGGGCTTCTCGAGAAGCCTTATGAATGAATACTATTAAAAACATAATTACAAACAAACTATGACATTTCCAGCACAAGCAGCCAAGCAATGAGTAAAATCAAATATAAAGCCTATAAAGCAAAATTGAACGAGTGACGGTTTCGAAAATAATCGAGAGTATAAGTTATTGAAAATAATCGATAGTATAAGATTACCCTTCTTTGGGTTTATATACCACAACACTCCCAAACACTTGACTTTAATCGATGATCTTGATTATTTTTAGCGGTTGTTTCTGGAGAGCTAACCGAAGACAAACACCAGTAGATGAGTTCGTTAATGTTAATGATGTTAATGTACTATGAGACAACACAAAGGGTCTGTCTTTTTTGCATACCAAAATGGTGGGACAACATTTCTTTGGGTTGCCAGTAATGTTAATGTTCTTTTCTTTGACATTGTCAGAGACTGGAGTGTTTTTATCTTGGTTGCATAGAAAGTTTGCCCAGACTTTTGCACGTCGATATCTTGGTTATGCATGTTTATGAATCATGTCCGTTGTCAATCCGACTTTGAAGTTTATTTCAGTTCTCCCTGTTTATCTGCTTCACAGTTCCAGTTAGCCATATATCTGTACTCGTTTCGTAATATGTTAAACTATACGTGGAAAATGATACAACAGACACTTTGTTGAGTATGGATACAAGGTTTAAACCAATATATACACAGCACTGTTGCTCTGTTGGCTCTTTCACAGTTCATATCGCCTCGGAACTCTTGTTGTAGCCGTTTTGGAACACCAGCGATATTTTGGTTAAAATTTTCGAGATAGCTATAGTCCACGATAATGGTATAGTTCAACTGTCAATGTCAATCCAAAATGACAGAGCCAGATGTTGTTTGTAATGCATTTTAATTACCAAATGAATGTTAGGCATTACTCAATGAAATTCTTTTCCAATTTGTGGCAATTCATTTCTCACTCCGGCATGTAGGCAATTAGGTGTAGGGAAATTTTCTTGCTTTCTTCCCATGTTTTTTATCATATTTCAAAGAGACGGTATATATTCTTTGCCACATCAAAACATACACTTGAGAAGGACTGGTCACTCATGACAGAGACCTGATACAGGCCGGTTAATGATCCTGATTGAACGGTCCCGTGTGAATACATAGGTATCTTCACTCCCACTAAGATTTTATACTGTTCATACCAAGTGTTTGTTGAATGTTGGCCACTTAAGATATCATGTCCACCGTGGTATTGGTAAGTGAAAATGAGAAAGACCAGGAAAAAAGATTTAGGAAACAACGTCAAGACAGACGTTAGGAAAACAACATCAATATATTGCAAAGGATAGACCTAGAGAAGGATTCGGTCGACTGACTCTGGATGATTAAGGTTCAAGGGGAAAAGAAGAATTAAGATCAAATGTTTGGCAGAATGTTGTGATTAAGATTAATGATAAAATTAAATTGCAAATGAGAAAAAGTGTTTATCACAAGCTGAATTTTGTTCATCACTTGGGGCTTTTGCTGGAAAATAGATTGTTTGAAATTAATTTTTGTTCAAATAAAGTTTTGGTAAACAATGTGGCAACAAATTTAAAGCTTGTTGAAGAGAAGACAATTATTAAATTTATATTTTGTGGTATAAATCACGCATGTGCTGCAGCACGTCATCGGATCGCTGGTTTTATTTATTATTTTCTTATGGTCTAAACTACTTGACTCTGTTTTAGTAAACGTTTGAATAATAGGATTACAATACCTATTACCTACTATTCTAACTACAATTGTGTCTACCGATATATAATATATATAAAGTTGATGAATATAAAGTGTAATAGTGGATGGTTATATTAGCACATGCATGTGCAGATAATGCACAGTAATCAGTATAGTGTATAGTGCATATAAATTGATTACATGTACCATGATTGATAATCGTGGGTTAATTGACATGCATGTATAGCACTATAAATATTATCCATTAATTTACAATACTGACCATACAATATAAGTACATTAAATACAGTGGTGACGGAACCAGGGGAACCGCGGGGGCACTACTCCTCCCCCACCCCCCTCAAGATTTTGTTAGGGGAAATCCCAGCGCAAAATTTGAATTAATATTTGGGACTACCGAATATTAATTCAAATTACCCCGCCAGATAGGACATGCACGTTGGCGTTTTGATTAAAAATATGCCCTTCCCCAACTAAAGACCAGGCCAAAATTGCCACTCGTTCCGCCGCCCCTGATGTAAAGTACATGATTGCAAAAGTTCAGTTGTCAAAGATTTTTACCGATTTTTAAGCACACTTTAATTTTTAACAACGAATATTTATAGTTTAGGTTAAAGTTTTTTAGATGATTACCACATAAGAATGGATTCGTATATTCAGTACATTAAGAATTTAAATGGGTGCAGAAGCATTAGATATTACATTTGTCTCAGTATAAGTACAGCAAAATTCTCTTGACATGATACTGTATTGCTGGCTATAGCCCATTCAGCAACAACTAGATGGCGCATTTCCACGTTTCCGTTTCTCTCAAACCAAAGCGTTGTCGTATGCGGTTTGCTATTTCTATTCAAGATTTGCAAGTGTCCTGGACCATGAAGCATATGAAAGTGATAATTGTTTTTTCACAACATAAAGTGCCGTTTTTAAGAAATAAAGGAATATAAAAAGTGACATCATACGTTGAATTCCTGCATTTTACCTGTCTCTTTATATAACTACCTGTTTGTAACCAACACTTAACCTTTTCGCTCAAAAACCGGGAACTCTATGAAAATGTATGTTTAATGTCTTATATTTACTTCTTAATTGTTTGAAAATTATGAAACATTATACAGTTATAACTGCCAGCAAGAAAAAACAAACAAAACTGTTTAAGACTTTAACATTATACTGCTGACAATTAACAGTAAAGAACCTGCATGGCTTGCGGGGTTGCTAACTTGTTACATAAACTGTACATGTTCATTTAATAACGTGGCCTTAATATCAACAAAAGAAACCGCAGAATGTTTCATAACACGTTTAACTTTATTACTGTTGAATTAGAAAGATACTGTAATGCTCAGTGGCTGTCACAGTTTAGTTGAAAACATGCTACAAATCACGTACATCACGCCATGCAGGATATCTCTAGTTTCTACACTCTATAGCTATAGTTTCTATGCATTGATAAACTCTTGAATGTTATATAAACTTATTAATTAAAGCGCATGTAATGGACTTAATATATGTTCATTTAAATTTGGTATTCCTTTCGAAGTTGATCTTTGGCATCTTGGAACGAACGGCTTTTCCAAAGTTCGGGGATTGTCGGTTCCTTGGCGTCAAAATGTTCAGCCAACTCTTTCGAAAAGGTAGTCACGAACCACTGCCAATAGATAGATCCCTCAAAAGTTAGATCTGGTGCGATTGACCAGGACTTATAATGATCATTGACTGACTGGTAATCTCTGTATTTATGCCATTTTCCAAATGTATCCTCATTTCGGAATTCCCCGTTTTTTTTGGCCATCCAGGTAGTGCAAATGGTAACGTCTAACATTTCTGTTTTAACGCTTTCGATATTTTTTAGACCCTGTGGACGATGAATTTGTGAAGAGTGTTTTATACCTGGATGATCTTTAGTGTGATCACACAAAACGTTGCAGAATGGGCAACAACTTTGACAACCAAACATCAAGTTGAACAAGTACTCGTGTGGCGGTGGATTCCATCTTCCCATAGCTTCGCGATCAACTCCACGTTCTACCAGTGATTCCAAAAATTGTGTTACCTTTTTACGAAACGTTTCCTCAAACAAATGAATATTTTCCAGATCGTCGACAACAGTTGGGAAACTTTCTTCCGTGATTTCAAGTATAGTACAATTTTTCACAAAATGCTGAATCCAAAACCTCAGTTTTGTTAGCCCGTTGGTTGTTGGAATAGCAGCAAACACTTGATTTTTTATCTTTTCTACTTCGTCTTTGAAAAGTGAGGTGATGTCGTGGGCATGTCCTTTTAGACAATCAAGGTGAACTGATATCGCCAAGCGGTTTCTTAGAAAGTAAACTGGATCTTCAAGATAAGGAATGTATGATTCAAACTTGCGATTCTCTCCAAGTTGAATGAGGACACTAGCATGAAATTGGCTTTTGCTCTGGTACTTTGTGTTAACGTCCATCATTTTTTTTGCCACCGCAGGACCCATGGTCCGCTTCAGCTGTGATTTAATTGGCTTTTTAAGTGCATTAACGATTGAAGAAGCAGCCGACACTTCTTTCCCTATCTTCTTGCAAAAATCCATAAATTGGTCTTCTAATGAATTTCGCATGTCTTTGTCCAGCTGACTTCTAAAGTCCCGTTTTTTCAAGAAGTCTTCTTCCATGCGATCAAAAATTTCGTAAACGTTGGCAAAAGTATAGAGCACGATGTCACATTTCAAACAGTTATTGAATTTAAAATGACATTTTTCTGACTCTTCTTCTATAATGGTAATAATCTCGCGATACAATTCTTTGAGGTCATTGGGTCTACATCTAACACCCAATGTTGATGTCGATTTAGCAAAATTAATCCCCCGTTCTTTTGCTTCGTCACATACATTTTTAGCAGCAGAAAGACATTTTTGTCGTTGTTTTTGTTGTTGTTGTTGTTGTTGTTGTTGTTGTTGTTGTTGTTGTTGTTGTTGTTGTTGTTGTTGTTGTTGTTGTTGTGTAATCTTGCTAGTGATATTGTTAGTAATATTGTTAAAATGCGAACCAATGTTACTAATAACCTTCCGGAACGACTGCCTAATGCTCAGTTGACCAATATCAATCACTGGAGTCATTTCTTTAAATTTTAATATTGAAAACGTTTCCATTCTTAATTTCTCTGTCATTTCAGTATTTAGATTGGAATTTGTGTCGCAAAGAACATTCGCCATTTCGTTGTTCACATTTCTCTTCCTTTCTTCACATTCGGGAATCTCTGCAATCCATTGCTGCCATTCTTGCTGGAATTTCGCCTTGCATTGTTCTTCATCTTTAGTATTATCAGCTGAAGTTGTGATAAACCTTTTAGCTTTTTTTAGAAGCTCATCTGCATAAATTTGTTTCTTTTCTGCAAGTTTTTGTCGATTTTCCCAATGATCAAATGTTGCTGAGCAATTTCTTTTGACGTCCATCACTTGGTTTTCTTTTTGTTGTTTAATTCTATTCACTATGTTTTGTCTCCATTGTTCCAGGGTTGCTTTATCTTCACTGGTTTCAAAAAAGACTTCCATTGCGCGTTCTATTTCTGTCGCAAGTGCGTCGGCTTCATTACGTATGTCTTTAATACTCAACTCTCGTCTAGCCTCAAATTCTTTTCGTGTTGTGCACTTGTTTATAGCTACTTCAATTTTTCTCTCCAGCTCTGCCATTCCTCTTGCCATCACATTGACGGATTGCTCGAAGAATTTTCGGTCTAAAGATTTATAGGCTCTTATCTCGATCGTATTGCGGAAGCTAAATATGAAATTTTCCTTCAACATGGCTTCCCAGAGGTTGCAGACCCTCTCTTGAAACTGAGATACAGAAAGTTTATATCTTTCTTTTGAACGCATCATTAGAATGATGTTTTCTTTTACTCTTTCAACAGCTCTTCCATACTCAGGGTTTACTGGTGCCATTGGTGGGTTACCTTTTAGAAGGCCGGGTAAATAAAACACGTCTTTGTTTTCATCGAATGAAATAATATCATTTAAATTTTGAAATTTATCTTCACAATTTTCTTGACTGGCAGCAAGCTTCGCCATTTTATCGAGATCGCTTTTGAGCTTTAAACGGTTGGCGGTCAAATTGTATGGGGCATCGGCAGCTGCAACATTTTGGTGAACAATTTTGCAAGCTTTCTTGTCTTTGACAAGCGTCATCTTTAAAAATGCATGGACGGCTATTTCCAAGAATTCTTTTATTTCGTTGCAATTTTCACCAAACACATTTACTATGGTTAGATCGGCCACACCAATTGCAAAAGTTGTTAATTTGTTATCATGCTTTCGCAATTCGGGATCTCCGGATCCTCTAAGACCTTCAGTATCAATGATCAACAGATAATCAAAATTTGACGCAGTTTTAAGTTCATCACTTACTGGAATAAGATTAACAAATGCGCCGCGAGTACACCTACCTGAACGTACTGGAAAATCTAGACCAAACATTGTGTTTAGCATAGTTGACTTACCTGAACTTTGAATTCCTAAAACAGAAATTACAAATATTTTGGCATCGTTTGTTTCAAGCTTTAATTTAGTAAAAACAGCTTCAAACCATCGCAGAGGAAGGTACAAAGAATGGCCGTCTACCAGCTCAAGGGAGTGTCCTGAAAGTAGCATATTTGCGGCTACACATACATAGTCGTATGTGTTGCAGATATCTCTATGTTGGAACAGTTGAGCAAGTTCTCTAGTTATGTGTTCTAAACCGAACGACCATTTTGTGGTTGCTTCTTCTAACTGATTTGCATGTTCCTCTTTAGATAACAGTGCTTTCCAGTTTTCCTGACAAATTTTCTTTTCACTATGCACTTTTGCCAGAGACCTCTTATCTAACTGATGCTTCAATTTACTCAAGGCGTAATTTTGTTGACTTTCATCCATCGCTGCAATACAATTTAGAAATTGAATAATTCGATTGTCCAGGCTATCAAAGGATTTTTTTTGAGCTTTCATTTCTTTCATTTCTTCTCTATAAATTTCCTCCATTCTTTTAGATTTGTTACTTTCTTGATTTGGAAAATATTTTTCACGTTCCAAGTTTGCCAAAACTGGGACGTGAGTTTGCAATTTTAATAGATCTTTAGCGAAAGGGGATTCCATTTCTAACCAAGTGTTCACGCTTTCTTCCAATTCCAGATGTGGTTCGCAACCATCAAGGTGAATTCCAAGTTCACTAGCACAGGACGCAAGCTTAACAAGTGGGATTTCCTTCACTTTAAGTATGTACTTCTGAATAAGTTGTCGTATTCCTTGGAAAAAATTGTGTTCATTCGATTTCTTGGCCCTTGTTATCAAAGACAGTTTCTTATTGTGTTTGTTTCTTAAATCATTAAAGCATTCCTCTGCGTAAGTTTGGTTTTTGGCATCAAATATCAGAATGGTTTGTGCTTTGAAATGCGCTGCCTCGTCTAAAATGTTCCTCGTGGTTTCATCTGGATATTCCGAGGGTAGTAAGATACAAAACACGGATGAGATCTTCGACAGGAAATTTAACTGCTTCTTGAAATTTTTGGCGTCTCCCCGCAGATTTGCAAAACAAATTGCTGTTTTTAGTGTTTGTTCTTCATTCCCGCCAGGAAGATGCCAAGCCAATTCAACCAATCCATCGACGATTTTTCTTACAGTGTCGCCGCCTTTGATACCTTTGTGAAAAAAGAAGTCATGGTCTCCGATACCGTCGGTCATAATTTTATTTATCAAGGATGATTTCGAAATGGTACTTTTGCCAATTCGAATGAAAGAAACCACCGGAAATGGATGTTCGGTCGCAAATACTTCTTGTACTCCTGTCCAATTTTTCGTGATGCTTTCTAAGGCCGAGAGCAAAATTGTGATGTCGTCAGCCGGCTTCTCCGGATTTGGAAGAAGAAAAGGGACACTAAGTTGACAAGCGGACAGTTTTATGGCAAGATGCCGTCGCAAAAAATAATCTGAGCAATGAAAAACTGCTATTAATGAATCCATCGGATTTATTCCTGCTACATCTTTACCTTCGCTTTCATTTTCATTTTCATCTTCATCTTCGCTATCATCAGATTTTTTTGTTTTAGTTTTATCTTCTTCTGAGGTTACATGGGTTAATTTAAATTCTCGCGTATGGTGATTAATTATCATTAGATTTTTTAAAATGTAATCAGGTATTTGATTTGGGGAAGTTAACTTGTCATCGTTTAGTGTATGGGTATCAACTGTTCGTGCTTTATTTAAAATTAGCTTTGAGTTAAGATCTAAATTTAAATCTTCTAATACTGCAGTGAAGATATTTGACTTTGAAATTCCAGGACTGGATTTTTTATCTGAAGACTGGTCTCGATGTTCAGGTTCATTCATATCTTTATTCTGATCCAAATTAGAATGCTTCGCAAGAGAGTCTTCGCCAGAGGCGTGTACTACTTTCAAGAAACAAACAAAGAAACATTAGCTGCATTTGTCATGAGCAAAAGTATGGATACCTCATTCTAAATCTAAAATAATATATTTGCTAGTCAGATATATATGTTATTTACCGGCTGCGAGGTCCGGATGAGAAAAACTGTGCCCGAGGTCTTGAAAACGGCCCGAGCCCGAAGGGCGAGGGACGTTTTCAAGACCGAGGGCACAGTTTTTCACATCCGGACCGACGCGCCAGTAAATAAAGTGTTTATTTTTTATCAGATGTAAAAATTAAATTCATTAAAATTCCAGTGTTGTTTGCGAACTAATTTGAGATCAGTGCAGTTGTGTATTTTCAAAGCGAGGCTGACAAAAATTGAAAAGTTGAAAAATATAAAACACGAATATATACGAATTTAAACTCGAGAAAACTGGCAAGAAACACACAAAAAGACGTGTAGTTTCAGTAAAAATGTACATGCTTTTAGTTTCATGAATATGGTAGCAGAGAAGCTTTGGAATAAAAAGTTTTATGCCTGGCGTTTTGCCTTTTGGCTTTGACAAAACCAGTTGCTCCTGACACAGACAGGTTCATGTTCAGATCCGATCAAAAACATATAAAAATCAATCTGTTTTGATTTAATCAACGTTTTTCTTCTAAAAGGACAACGAAAAGGTATGTTATTTTTACATTTTTGTATTTTTTCTTGTCGTTTCACGATAATATGCTTGAAAAAAGTGTTTTAAACACAAACTTTTACTTTGTTTACAATATTTATATCAGTGAAAAATACATGACACAAATAGGTAGAGAATATATTCGTGACTTGTTTTCACTACTGCAGTTAAACCATCTTTTAAATGGGCAAATATTTATTTTACAATATCTGTTTAAGCTGTAATTTTTTCGCTTTTAAGTGGCCGAATACATCTCGGAATACATGAGCATTAAAAAAATATATAGTTTTCTCGACGTAAGTTTTATACATGTCAAATAACTTTCCGACTTTCAGTCGCATTTTTATCAAAATATTGTCAATTCTGGTGAACACCGTGCTTAGTATGAAGCCTTTAGGGCTTGATGCAATTCATTTTCGTATTCTGACTATATCGTTAGGCTATGTTTTTCAAACGTTTTTGCTGATTTTTTCGTTTAAAAATTGTTTCACTCCTCGGTTTTTGGCGCGAAATCCAGAGCGGGCAGTTGCATTTCACAGCGGGCAGTTGCGTTTCAGAGCGGGCCGGATGCAAAAAACCGGCCCGCTCTGAGGGGCTCCTCAGCCAATCAGATTGCTTCATTTCCACTGATAAAAAATAAATAATTATAATTACCTAACGTTTAGACACGTTAAATAAAACCTCATTAATAATTCTTGAGGAAATCAAAGGAAAAGGAACAAAGAGGATCATGATGTTTTTTATGTTACTCTGAGTGTATATCCACAACGGGCAGGCCGAAAAGTTACCCTGACCACACCTGAGTACATAACATCAAAACACACGCAAAAACATCATGATCATAGAACACATTGCAGGTATCGAAGGTACTAGACGTAATGTATGAACAACGAGAGCGAGTGTTTCACCGCGATATCCAAACACTGTTTCATACATTGTTTTCGAGGGTTTGGATATCTTGGTGAGACACGAGCTCGAGTTGTTTATATGGGTTCTCAAATTAATCGAGACGTAACAGAAATCAATGTTTTCGTTTGCTGATTTTAATAGAATTCTTAACCAAGCATAACGTAATTAGAAATTCTATTCAAGTAATTTTGCATGCGTAATTAAGATATTTGATGAAAACACTAGTGACTTTCATCAAGTTTCACCGGGTTATCCAAATGGCATCTTGTGATCAAATAGGTGATTATCATTGGCTGAATTGCTCATGAATTATTAATGAATTTGAGAAATGTATAACGTCAACAACGGAAAACATGCACGGTCAGACCTATCAAGCATCCTGTTGGGTATAGTTAACTTCATGTACAGCGTTCTACTTTCTCTTCCATGGTAGGGCAACCGTGATGCTGAAGAGTTGAGCATGCGTAAATCAGATGATGTTACAGTACTCTGAGTGTGTCGAGCGAGGGCAAGCTGAAATGTTTCCTTGAAACACTGTGGGGAATTTCG